AATAATGTTTGTTTTTCATGCCTCTTAGGATTGGTGTCATCAACTTAATTATGCAAATATGAGTGTAGAAGTGCTTGTCTCTGATTGGTTCCTAGAAGATGACGGAGATGTCCAACTGGTGGCCTTACAGAGGTGACGGATAGAAAAGCTGCAGAGGTGGACTTCCTACCCACCATCCTCAGCTCATCTCAACCAGCCACACTGTTTGTCTGTTAACACCATGTAAAGTTTTGGAGTTTGCAATAGCGAGCTGCCGTTTATGTTTTCTTTGTTTTCTGATGTTTTTCTTAATTAGGAAGGTACGTTTTTGTCATTTTGTTTTACACTGCTGGGGGTTTGCTCCTGTTAAAAATGAGTTTTTCCTCTCCACTGTCGCTATGAGCATGCTTGGTGTGAGGGATTGTCTTCCAGTCAATGAGCTGATGCTATCAGCTGGTTTTCCTTAGATAGAAAACTTTGAATCAATCTGACTGTGAGATCTGGTTGAATTGTAATGTGCCTTAAGATTCAATTCAATGTGAATTAGCACTATATAAATACACTGAATTGAATTTACTTTTAATTAGGTAAGTTTTGATTAATATTCAGATAGTTTCCTGTTGTTTTTGGCATTATATCTCACTCTGTAGTCACTTGTAATGCCCTAATCAAGAATAATAAAGAATAACATCTTTTTAAAATAAATAACATTATAAAATGTTCAATTATGTGTTTGTGGCTATTTGGGATGTGAAGAGGATGGATCCTTCATGTTTGTAGCGATATTGTTTATAAATTTCTGAATAATGTGCATTTATATTTCACTTCTCCCTTCAGATGATAAACAGCAAAATTTGCCGTCTATTCTCTAGAGTAGGTTTAACAGCCTTACCCATTTATTGACTACAAATCCGAAAACATAATTTTCTTCTCATCTGATAAAAGCATTCTACTGATTTTTCCTTAACATAGCTTCTAGCTAGCATCTACTTCATATGGCTTCCATTCAGCAATAAAGTTTTGCAGATTCTCTGCAGCTCTCAGCTTTGTTTACTAAATAGTTAACTTCTGCTTGCAGTGCATTGGATTCATTTATATATTTTATTATAAAGCATGGACAATGTATTAAAAAACTGTATTTTTAAAACGTTTATTTTTTAAAACACGCCAACAGATGCTCCAAAAGAACAGAATTCTTTCTAAAACATGTTTAGATTAAACAGGTGTGTTAGGCACTGCTGAACCTTATTTTCATAAATGTTTGAAAGCAAAGTTAAAATCCATAAATTGTTGATTAAAAAAAACAAAACGATTTTTTTTGATCCAGCTGTAATGTTTGAAGAGTTTGTGCCGATTACTTCATGACAGCTACAGAGCAAACATGTCTTAACAATAAAGCCGGGTTCACAGACGAGGCTGAA